TGAGCTGATCGTGAGCTCTGAGGTTGCTAGATGTCGAATTTCAACACCCCCCCCCCCCCCAAAAGGCCCCCCACACACACACACACACTCATACACAAACACACACACACACAAACACACACACACACACACACACACACACACACACACACACACACACACACACACATCCACACCACCCTCCGCCCCCCATTCCCTCACAATAACTTTCATTTTCCCTGAGAACGTAATCAATTCAATCACGAGGGGAAGAAAACAAAAAAATGTATTGGAATGTACATAAACATGAGAAAATGATATCCATAGGCGGATATGAGACCACATCTTTTCATATATACTCTGAGCTTGTCAAGTATTAACAAATGGCCTAACATTTACCGCCAACGATCGTCCGTTCTAACTGATTTCTAGTGATAAGGCATGATAAAGGCAAACTGGACAACCCATAGCATAATGGTGATAGCTGTGTACATAAGTAGGAGGAGGGCGAGGAATGGAAGGTGGGGGACACTGGGTGTTAGCAAGGGAAATAATCACCCTAACAGCAGGGAACTGTTTGGGGTGTGGGGGGACCTCAAGTGGAGGATTATAAAATGTGACTGTAGAGAGGGAAATTTGCTAAAACGGAGAGGGAACTAACCGCTGAACCTGGCACTGTGCGGGGTGAGCTGGACCAACAGGGAGCCTCAAGTATAGGTTTGAAACGTGTGTGAGAGAGGGGGCTCAAGGATAGATGACATTCATTGGGTAATTGCGGACAAATCTTCCTCTGTATTTATAAAATGTTGTACACGGTACAGATGCTTTGGTGCAGGTGCACTGTGCTGTGCTGCATACAGTTTTACTCTGTCCCAAGCTTCAGTTCAGCGGAGAATACTTCAAGCTTCTTGAGGACTGTCAACTTTCCAATTCAAGAAAAGGAAGAAATTGTGCCACAACCACTTTGGGTATGAGCTGCCAGCAGGTTAGGCATTATGGTTGCTTTCTGATAACGTCGTTGACACTTATGACTTTATGTGTGGATGTGCACGACTCAATGGACAGAGTCATATTTTTCGACATTCCTTTGGTCTTCATGTAGGGATGGTGGGCCATGATAGCGAGAACATCGGTGTCTTAAGAAATAACCCTGATGTCTCTCTGTCCTAATGACGATTCGTTGATGACATGAAACGCCATCAGCACATCAGCTCCTTCCTGATACAGAGGGTCTTGCTGAAGCCCAGACCCCATTTATATAGGGAGTGGATCTGGCCAAGTGATGACAACATCTGTTCCTGGGGGAGGCTGCATACTGCAAAGACGATGTACAACCATTTGTATCAGTTGTTCCTTGTTGGTTGTGACTTTCAGCATGACACTTTGCTGTGGCAAAGGCGACTCTTCAGTCAGGTTGTACACACGACTTGTCCTCTCCTGACGGCGTTTCGACAGCATGACTTTGTGCTCAGTCTGTAGTATCTGTCGAAGACCACAAGCGTCACTGGTGCTGACTGAACTCATCGCAAAATAGCGGCAACTGTGGTTGTGACGAAAGCCGAGATTTTCTCTTTCCTGCCAAGTTCAATATAGCGTTCATGGACTGTCCCACTATTCCACATGTGTGATTTGTTGAATCGTATCTCGCCAACCAGCATATCGAAGGCATTGTCATGCGTTGTAGGTGAGCTAGTTGATTGATTTGGATTGTTTGTTGTGTAATACCGGGAGTAGCAGTCTTTGTGATACCTAGCGTCTGCTGCATGCAAATCACTAACTGCTGATATGACACAAGGAAGCTGACATCCGTTCCCCATTTGTCCGCATGCCACTTGGCATATTTTGTATTTCTTCTTAGGTGATCTGTGTCCTCTCTTCTCTGGAGTTTGGCATAAGTAGGCTTTTTTCCCGACGATCTGGGTGTTTTTAGGGGTATCAGAAAAAAAAAACAATGTTCACAAAAATTAAACAAACTAGTTCTACCCCTACACGTTTGGGTTCTTCTTCAGAGAGCTTATCTGTCTTTATTTTATAGATCTTGCAACACAGTATAAACTCTGCATCTTCTGGAAGTCTCTGACTGTGTCCATCATCTCACTACCGGCTTTTTCCTGAAAACCAGTAATCCGTCTCGAATTGATCAGAAGTGGGGTCTTTCTAGTAAAAGCAGTCCATGTGTAAGAAAGGGAGAGAGAGAAAGAGACAGAGAATCGAATCAATATGTGTTTAAACGTCAATGAGTGAGACACTGTGAGTGTGCATGTGTATGTGGCATGAACCAGCCTAATCACATCGTCCTGGTGGTTATGTAGCGTTGTCCTACATTCTTTGTTTCTACGTAGCGATAGACCTACTTGCATACATACTGACAAAGAACGTAGGAATAACGGAACTCTCCTGTCGGTACAAGCGATTAGATTTTGACCTAGGGTGTGGCTGATTTCTTTAATATCAAAATATGTCATGCATCCCCCCCTTCAACCATATAAATATCTCCTTCTCTCTTTCTATCCCCCCCCCCCCCAATTTTCCCCTCCCGAATGAATCATTTAGACTTCTCAAAAACACAGTGTAGCTTTATGAAAACAGGACGCATGTGTTCTTGGATATTTGGTATTGCAGACAGTTCTCAATTACTTAACATTCCAATAGTACCAGTAAATTCTACAAGTACTTCAGTGTTCATGGGTCCTGTGATGAAGAAACGAACACTTGTATTTTCTTTTCAGGCCATTAACACATCGTGTGACCTTCTGCGATGATACTGTGTTGTTGACGCTCAACTCTGTGGAACATTTGATTTTAGTGCACGGAGGTATGGTGCAACAACGTATTATCTGACAATGTCTCCTTGCTGTGCTAGCTGAGTCCATATCACGAAGGCGGACAGCAGGCCGTGCTGTGTACCTTTCGGTGCAGCCTGTGACATCACGGCGAGAGGAGCTGTTAGCGTTTGATAATGCCCGTAAGATACAAGTTGGCTCCCGAATGATATGAAGTCTAGAGACCCAGAGGAAGCAGAACCACCAAAGAAAAAAAACTTTATGATGGAAAACAACGTACTCGTACCTGCACATAGACCCAGCTCTCGGACTAGTTGTTGCTACCTTCGTGATAGGAGGTAGCTGTTCAACCACGACCCCCCCCCCCTCCCCACCCACCCTACCCCACCCCCAATTGCACCACCCGAGTTTCATTCCTTCTTTGTTGCCACTACTGGTCCAGCCTCGGATCTAACAAAACCTCGGGGTCAACGGGGACCATGGGTTGGCCCCAATGATCTCATTGTATTTGGGGTTCGATGTATTCAATTTTCTGTGTGAGCAAAACGCGGCAAAAACAGTGTTTTCGCATATTTCAAAATGTGTGTTCATTACTGTGTTCCTCTTTTGTTGTCAGATTTGAATTGATTTCGTACCCATGATTGCATTGATTTGTGATTACTCGTATGAAAGCTTCTTGCTTTCAATTAGACGCTTAATTGTTAATGATTTGCTTGTTCTGTTCACGAAAAACGAAAAGATTTTCAAAGTAAAAAAAGGCGGGGGATTCATGGGTAGGGATAAAAAAAAACTCATAACTTCTAAACCAAAGAAGATATCTTGATAATGTAAAAAGTGCAGCTATCAGTGCAGCAAGCTCCTTGTGTTGAATCTGTTATCAACAAAACAAGGTATGTCAGAAATGTTCATAGAACTGCCTTGCATAAGTGTGGAAGTTCGAAAATGTCACTAGAGAATAATATACAATTTACAAAGAGAGAAAGGGACAGAGATAAGGACGACAGATGTTTGATGGTAAAGAAGGAGCAAATCATACCAGAGCGCTCGCCAACCACCCACGTCCTTTCATCCTGATTCGATAACACAGTCCCACCGGTAGGCTATCATTCTGTGGTGTGATGCTCAGGCTCTTTGCCTTTGCATTCCTTTCCCATGAGTATTCTACTCGACATTCCCACACGAGGAGCATGTTTTGCCGAGTATATCTGTCTGTCTGATGATGTATTACACCAGAGAGTTTTACAGTATTACCAACTCTCTAATTTCACACTGCCTGAGTTGGCCATGACAGGCAATAGTGGGCTCTCGTGGCCTAGATGTTAAGGTATTCTCCTCTCCTTCAATGGTCCAGGGTTCAATCCGGAGAGCGACGGAAAATTTTCTTCTCTAAAATTGTATTTTTTCACATCCTTTTCAGTACCGCTCTAACAATGTTCTGTTGTCCGCTTTCGTCTTCTATTTCTGCCCCCAACCCCTCACCTCCTTTGCTCCCTCCTCTGGGTTCCTGATAGGTAAGATCTACACCTAGCTTTCTCTGATAAGGGCGGAAAATCTCAGACGTCATGTGTGCAAATTGCGCACGTTAAAGATCCCTGGGTGGTCCAAAATCGATAAGTGTAGGCTTCGGCTGCCATCTGAGCAAAATTCAAAATTTTCCTAATAACTGAAAATGTTTAACGATGCCTGCGCGCTCATATGACCGGCCTTATATATGTATAGTTTCAAGCGCCGTAAAACACTAACCCAAAAAAATGACGGGCAGGGTCAAAGCAGCCAACTAACCACAAATAATCAATTAGGGCGTAAAACATCCACACTTATAGTTACGGCCCAAAAGCAGCGCTATTTGAGAATCGTATAATGTTATGTCTTTTGATTGTTTCTTCTGTTTCTTTAAACTGGCTACAGGCCCATGGAGGCAGCAAAGTTGTTTCTCTGGCATATCCTTTTTTAAATATTGTTATGTTGCCAAGAGAGCAGCATACAAGTGACAACCTCTTAAATAACCCAACAGTTTTGACGAGGGCGTTAAACCTATACAATTCATTTTTGTAAGTGACAATAAATAGAGTTGTATCGGTGACCAACGTGAAAATGACACCTCACCAACTTTTTTGCATTTTCGTTCTTGCTGTCAGGTTCAACATTTTTGTATAATCGCTTTCAATGAAACATTAGTTAACCAAAATTGCAGAAAAAGAGACATCGTACCACAGCTGCATATTTTATAACATACCATCTCGTTTATCAGGTGTAAAGAAATAGCATGCGTTTATTAATCAAAATACATTATGAAGTATTAGAGGCAAAAATGTTTGTTTTTTTAACACGATGTGAACAATGCGAGAAACAGAACTTTGAAGAAAATTGTTCTTCAGGAACCCAACAAACACAACTTGCGTGACTATGGAGCTTATTATGGGGAGGCAGGGAAGGTGTGGTGCGTGGACATTTCTGAGCTGCTTTATGCATATATTTTCCAGAGGAATCAAAGCCCTTGAGCGCTGAGTAAAGTTGTAGGATCATTCACAACTGACAGTTGGAACTGAAACAAAAAAAAATAACAACAAGATTTTACCAATCTTGCAGCCAATGCCTTTAGACAAGACATAATATGATCTGCTTTGTCTCAGAATCGTAATTCTAATACAAATTTCCAGTTATAGAAATACTGTTTGAAAAAGGCGTAAAACTGTGTTTTCAAAGGTTTTATACAAGACAGAGCGCTCCATAAAGGCGTTTCCCACTATATGTTGTCGGTTTTGTTGGGGGGTTGTTGTTGTGGGGGGGGGGGTTTTGGGGGGGGGGTTGTTTTGCTTGATTTGATTTAATTTGTTTTGATTTCTTTTGTTTTGGGGTTTTTTTATTTTGCTTTGTTTTGTTCTTAATCTTTGTTTTGTCTTTGTAAATACAGAGAAGGCCCAACCTTCCGACGGATTTTTGGTTCAACACAGCTTTATGTACTTCCAAATTAGGTCACAATTTTTATCATTCATAATTTATACGAACGTGCATTAAAACGTAATGAAATTTGTGAAATATCCATCAATATTTAATGCTACGGACCTCAAATTTTCTGTCCCACCAAATGTTCTCCTTGTACAGCTTTGCTAGCAGGATTTCAGCCTCGCCTCCGCATTTTTCTTTTTTTTTTCTTCTTGGTTCTGAATGAGTTGAAACTTAAGTTTCCACAAGCTTGTCTTTCAGAATACAAAATAATCAGAAGTCTGCGCTTTGTGATTCATAATACTGCAAGACTATAAATTGTTTTTTATGGGCAAAACTGAGACCCCGTGCTCTTGTTTGCACAGATTTGTGACCCCTGCTTTGTGAGTAGCTGTATTGTCGGAGTGCAGCAGTAGGAAGAAAAAGTCATTGTGGCATTATATGGCAAGATGTCAACCACAAAGGGACCACTGTAATTGAAAATGGCAGTAAAAATGTTCTTTCTGCTTTGAATCCTAGACGTAGAAAAAACTGGCCTGTCACCTTTCTCCTCTACCTTCGTGAGATTCAGCCATGTTGATAGAATTTCAAACAAGGTAATCCATGTTTCGAGTTCCATGACATTTTTAGTATGTAGCTTGGGTCCACTGGGTTCGGATATGTGGAGAATGTTGGGAGCACATCTCACCCTCTCTCTCTCTCTATCTCTTTTTCATTTTCGCTCCTCTGTTTGTAAAATGAGTCTCCAACGAACCCCTTCGCCATGTAATTCCCCACGAATAATAACCCACCAATTACACACACAACTGTTTAGTCAACACTAAGTTCCCGAATAGATGTACGGGGATCTTGAGAAATATGGTTCCGTGCCGGAATTTGAGCGGCGAAAATGTTGTTCATCAAAGGCAGTGTCTGACCCTCCGTCACTAAATTCTCTTATCCAATGACAAAATAACAAACTTTATATGAACAAGCAGATTCTCTACAGGTACTCTGAAAATGTTAATGAACCTGTGTTGACACAACTAAGACAGAAGTAATGAAGGTATTCAGTTGCCAAACCCCATTAAATATCCACGTCAACAACATCAACTGAAAGAAGCAAAGTGAAATGTCTCAGAAAGACATTAAACATCACGAAAAGAGACAGACAAGGAGACCAACACATTATTGAAGTGGCCTTGAAATTGAGCATGAAATACTTCGAAAGACAAATTGAGAGAATGAGGCCACAACAGCCAGCCTCTACGGCCAGCAATATGACGTTCTATGGCCTCAAGACTTAGGGGAAAATAAAGAAAAATGTGGATTGATGGAGTCAAAGAGACATTCCAAAGACGCAATACCATGATGACCATCCGAAAGGAAAGCACCTGGCCCGTGTGCGTCATTTACATCATGAGGCAAAGAAGAAGTAAAAAATAGTAAGTTCTGGTGATTCACAAAGTTTACAGCGCATACAGATGAAGAGAAGGGTATGTTCATTTGTGAATCCTATCTTTTTTTCTTTTTTTTTGTGATGTGATAAAATGATCAAAAGTTAAGGTGCTAGGTGGCAACTCCCATTGCTTTATGGTCCACCCTCGTAAATACAGAGTTAGGGAAAATGGTATAAAAAGTTCTTTAAATATATTGTTCTGGACGTTTCAAGGATTTGTCAGTCAAATACGAGAATAATATGTGCAGTGAAGTTCCTTACTTGTGTTCTGCGCAACTTTTTTGTGGTCCGTATTGAAGATGATGATTGTAAATACGTCTTAACCCCCACCCCTCCCCAAGCAAACCACCTCCACTACTCCCTGAGTAAGACCCAACGAAAACGAAAGATTAATGTAGTACAGTTAGTGTTTAGACGATTTCTAATGCGTCATGGAAATCACAGCAGCCAGACAAACTACTGAAACAAGTTGTGACTTTTATTACAAAAACATTACGCTTGAAAATATAAACAACACAAAACTGTTGCAGGACAGATTTTCCTTAAATATACACTTTACAAGAAACTAAATCTCATGAGGCAATACCAATCTACATTGTACATTGTTTGAATCTGTATTTTACTCTTGATCGGTTCCTTCCCTTTTTTCATGACAACCAATTAGAGAGAAATGAACAGTAATCTGTCACAATACTAAAAATATAGTCTAATATCTACTGAAATCTATACTTTCCAGCATTTCTATTAAAATCAAACAAATCCAAACAAAATAATATTACAGCAATCCTCCTGAAAACTTGAACTGGAGCATACACATAGCTGCAAATATCATAACTTGCTATCTATACTTCAATCAAATCATTGTTAAGATGAGTTAAGCTGGTGATGAAAAGTATGCCAATCCTTGTTTGGGCATAGAATGTCCAATATAGCTACATGCTGGTGGAGCACTGTGTGGTCTTTCTGGCAAAATGTCAGTCCGTTTTATAAGGTATAATAAAGCAACATTCACCAGAGACTATTTTAATCTTAAAGATTTCTCAAAAAATTGTCTGTATCTTCATTTCGTAAACGTTGCCCTGGTGAAGATTTTTCGGAGTACAAGGCAACAATTAATATAGGCTAGTATCACTGTTTGTGTCTTCATACTATATACATTAAGTTCGATCTTCAATTGTTTTCGCCTCATCCTTAAATTATTTATTTATTGTATCAAGGCCAAAAGCAATAATTTCCAAGAAAGCTACAATTTGCCTATTCTTTGGAAGTTTTGCAAATTACATTTTAACTTGCAGTCCAAGCACAATTCTTCTGTCTCCTTTGTCCAGTACAATTTTAAACTGAAGGCTTACTTTGCTACTGTTGATGCCAAAACTTTAAAACTATTTTGTTAATGCTAGCCTAAAGTACAGCACTGACTCTATTTATTTGTTGCCATGCGTGAAGTAAGTTCTACGTCCTTTACAACTTTCCTAAATAAGAGCTTCAGCTCTGTAGGTATCAAAACTAAACATGCCAAAGATGCACTCAGTACATTAAAAGAGGCAGAAGCTGTTTGACTGAAATCTACAATCTGATGCACGTGTTACCAAAAGCTGAAGTTTTCAGGAGAATTGTAAGTATGTATTTGTGTGTATACATTTCATGATATGTACATTGTAATTCCACGATTGATGTCTACTCCAATGCTCATCAAAATCAAATAAAATGAAACAAAATAAACATATGATAATAAATATGTATACATATAATTGTGTGTGTGCCTGTGTGTGTGCGTGTGTGTGTGTGTGTGTGTGTGTGTGTGTGTGTGTGTATATGTGTGTGTGCGTGAATGCGTGCGTGCGTACATGTTTGCGCGCGCGCGTGTGCGCATGTGTGCTTGTATGTAATTCCATGATTGATGTCTACTTCAATGCTCATTATGCGTCAGAAGACATCTTCACCTTGTCCCCACTTGCACTGCTATAGGTGGCGTTGTCGAAGCCAGTAGACGTGAAGCCGAGGCTCCCTCTAAGGGAGCGGTTCTGCATGTGGCGGCGAATCACAAAGGCAGCGACTACAGCAACAGCGACCATAGCCATGACTCCTATCACGATGCCAGCGACTGAGCCGCCACCAAGTGAGCCGGAGCTGCTACCAAGTGAGCCACCTGAAAGCAAGATACATTTATGTAAGAATTGAAAGATGACAGATGGTGCAATGGGTAGTTGTATTTCTGTAAAATTGGCCACTGCCTAACTCATTACATTTAAATGCATGATGCATTTACCAAAGAAATTAGATAGTGGCAAATAGTACAATTACCTTTAAAGACATATAATGTATTTGTCATAGAAATTGGATAGTGGTAAATGGTAAATTGAGTAGTTTTGTTTAAGTTCATACGAATTAGATGGTAGCAGATGACACGATGAGCAGTTTTGTTTCTATAATGTTGGCCACCATCTTATACTTTTTATGAAGACATTTTGCATTATTTTTATCATGTAATAAAAAAGACAATTGCAAATGGAACACTGAGCAGATTTGTTTCTGTAATATAGATATATTTACTTTTTAAAAGTTTTTGGAACAGCTCGGCAGAGCGCTTCTGGTGTTTGAAAATTATTAAGAAAAGAACCAAGAAGGGAACAGTCAGAAGTTATATTGAGCTTCGTTTTCCTTTATGTGGGAATAGAAGAATCAAGGAGAAATTGAAACAACACTTCGAAACAGAAAAGAGAAATATTAAAACATTAAAGATTTAAACGATCTTTGTGACCGTTCTTGCTGCGTTACCTGAAAACGAAGGATAATAAATCTTAGAGAAGGGACAAACACAGTCCAACATATCGTTTTTCAATGTGGAGGGCGCTTTTGTGGGGTTGACCCATTTTAACCTCTGGTAAAACTTTTGATGCTACAGTCTAGCACGCACATAGCAAAAATTTGCTGGGCGACGCCAATTTTTTAAAGTTATGTACAAAGTTCAGGCTACATCAAGACAGATAAGCAGAGTTGGACGACAAGATTTAAATTTTACGTGAAATAATATGTGGCCCTACGCGATGCCAACACATGTGCCAGATCATTGACAGTTATCTGCGACCTTGGTACGCCATTCTTTCATTTGCTCTGATGCTCTAAAAAAAAAAAAAAAAAGCTGTTTTACTATCCTGATCTTTCCCCGTCACCCGTCTTTTAGGCCGTCCAAGTAAGTTGCTTTGGGTCTGCCTTTGCCTCGTTTGCCTTTTAATTCTAGTAGTGAGAGCTACATCCCCAAAGCCCGTGTGTCTATTCAAGTGCTCCAGAAACTGCATTTGTCTCTTCTGAATTGTTTTTATTAGAGATTGGCTTCTTCGAGTATTACCTCATTTGACGTCTGTTCTCACATAGAGATTTTCAAAAGTCTCCCAGAAAACTACGTTTCTGTTGATTCCATTTAATTTCGACAGTCTTTTGAGATTGTAAAGAAGTCACAGCCATATAGAAGGGTGTAGCACGCTTACACATTTAGAGTTTTTGTTTTGGTAGTCACTGAGTTGTTTCTAGTTTTCAGGATCGGGTTCAGTTTTATTTTAAAACAGTCTTTACCCATGAGTTGACGCAGTCGCTTGTATTTGTAGCTTTGAGGTTTTTTATTCACATCCGCAAGGGTCAGCAGTTTTTTCTCAACTAAGAAACCTTTCTGCTCCTTTTGCTTAGATATAGATCTAGTACACTATTTCCTACAACTTCAGCTCGACTTAGCTTAGCAGAATGCCGAAAGCTACAAGCATGGTGTGTAATTTAAATCTCTGTTGAATCGGAAGTGTGCTGACACACACGGCGTCAAAATCGGAGAGACCTATGTGCTTTAACGTGACTACAGACTCACCACACGACACAGACATCTGTTGGTGTGCAGGCGAAATCTGCCGTGAAGGACTTCTGTGATGTAGCCTATTCAATAAATAGATCTAGATCTATGTCCTTTTGGCCTGCACTGTTGGCCTCGCTTATGGAGAAGTCTCTCTCTCTCTCTCTCTCTCTCTCTCTCTCTCTCTCTCTCTCTCTCTCTCTCTCTCTCTCTCTCTTTCTCTCTGTCCGTCTATCTATCTATCTATCTATCTATCTATCTATCTATCTCTTTCTCTCTCTATCTCTCTCTATCTCTCTCGATCTCTTTCTCGCTCTTTCTTTCGCTCTGTGTGTGTGTTGTGTGCGTGTGTGTGTGTGTATCTCTGTCTCTCTCTATCTCTCTGTCTGTCTCTTTCTATATCCCTCCCCCCCCTCTCTCTCTCTCTCTCTCTCTCTCTCTCTCTCTCTCTCTATCTATCTATCTATCTATCTATCTATCTATCTATCTATCTATCTATCTATCTATCTATCCATCTATATATCTATCTCTCTCATCACAGTGTCTTCGATAAACAAAATTTGCAGTCGCGTTTAATGATATTCATTTTTTGCAGACATCTGCGTCTTTTCGCTATGTACGAATTGTTTACGCTGTGTGCGTGTTTTGAATACAGAGAAATATGTAAGAAAAAATTCAAAACCTGAATTTGTTCTTCAGGTGTATTTCCGATTATATGCGCGTGTTTGCTAGGTGCGTGCTAGACTATATCTATGTCCACATAACTAAAGTGGCAAAGGTGTCATGAAACTGTACTGGAAACATTACAAGGTCCTGAAAATCATAAACTCTAAAACGGAAAAGATATACTTTTGATAGGCCTCTTCTTACGATGTATGTAAAATCCATGTTATTACTTTCAATAGATAGGACAGGCCTATATTGGAGGCACTGGAAGAACTAGAGGTCAAAAGTAATCATAAAATCTTCACTGGGGACTAACTTAACCTATACTTAAGAATTCAGAGCTAAAATAAATTTACATTTTTATCAAATAAGACATGCATAACGTATAATACAGTCCAGCGCGCACATAGCGAAACCGGCAGGATGCGGCAGTCTTTGGTTATTTCCTAATTTTGCTATTTATGTGTTTTAAATACAAAGAATATACATGTAGGCTTTAAGAAAACAGTCAGGGCGTGAAAATCTGTTCGCTATATGCGCGTTTCGCTATGTGCCTGCTAGAATGTAGCTTCATGGTGTTTACCAGAGTTTCCAGGGCCCTGCTGTAAGCCTGAATTGGTAGGGCTGGCAGCTACTGGAGGGTACCCTGTGGGGTTGCCGGCCCAGGGGTTTTGTGTGGGGTTGCCGGCCCAGGGGTTTTGTGTGGGGTTTTGCGTAGGGTTTCCAGCCCATGGATTTTGTGTGGGATTTTGTATGGGATTTTGTGTGGGGTATTGTATGGGATTTTGTGTGGGGTATTGTATGGGATTTTGTGTGGGGTTACCGCCCCAGGGGTTCTGTGTGGGGATTTGTGTGGGGTTTTGTATGGGATTCTGTGTGGGGTTGCCAGCCCAAGGGTTCTGTGTGGGCCAGGGGTTCTGAGTGGGGTTGCCGGCCCAGGGGTTCTGTGTGACCACAGGTGGAGGTCGCGTCACGAGAGGTTCCCAAGTCACTGGGGGGACGTACTGTGTGTTTGGACCAACTGGCTGCACTATACCTGCGGTAGGAGCTGTGATGACAGAGCTGGAGGCAGCGTCTGGGGAACACAATGTGAGGGAGGCGTGTCACACAAGAATACGTGCCTACTACTTTATGTGTGCTTGTAGATGTGTGTTAGTGTGAGTGTGTGTGCGTGTGTGTGTGTTAATGGCGGGGGGGGGGGGGCGTGGGTATGTTTGGGTTGGTAATTATGTGTGTTTGTGTGTATGCTCTAGTGCTTACAGTGGTTACATACAGATAAGCGTGCACACACACACACACACACACACACACACACACACACACACACACACACACATACACACACATTCACACATACACACAAACACACACGCACATAGACACAAAAACACACACACGCATAAACACACAAATACTAACAGACTCATATAACCACGTCCCCCTAATCTATATGAAGCCGAGCCCCTGAAGAAAAACTACTGCACGTATAATTTAAGCCTTTGAAGAAAAAAGAGAGTGATTTAGAAATAACTTTTGATTCTTAAGGTTGGACTTTCTTATTATAAAACCACAATAATCCACATTTGTCTTTCCAGAAACGACTTTCTTTTTTCGAAGTTTAAGTTAAATCGTCTTATCTAAATTAACTTCTCCCCAAGATGAAAGTCTTTTCTCTGCTTCACTAGCGGGAAAAACACTAGCACACTAAAGCACAGTCCTTCCTTGTAGCTAATTAAGTCAGTAAAGTACACATGAGTCTTTCACTGCCGGACTCTCGTATTTGTAGCAAAGTTCATAGCATCAACAGAAGGGAACTTTGTAAACATATCATGCTTTTATTTCCTCCACCCTTATTTAAGACTTGTCTAACCTTCCATGTTGGAGTACTTATACTGTATGTCTCCTTAAACTTAATATTCATTAATCAAATACAGATAAACCGTTTCTTATAAGTATATGCCGATCACTTGTTATTGCTATATGTCCTACAAGATGGCCAGAAAAACTCATGGTAATAAATAGCATTTGTATAGCGCATAACCCCGCTCCACAGCAAGCTCTATGCGCTTTACACCATAGTATTACCCCAGGAGACCATAGAATACTCAGAAACATTCTCAGCTTCCCGGGAAGCATACAGTGCAAGCAGCTGATTAAGCGCTCAAACGCTAACAAACTGACAAGATCTTTCACTGTCTATGGCTGGGTACCCATTCCCACCTGGGTGAATTGAGGAAAACTCGTGTAAAGTGCCTTTCCCAAGGACACAACGTCGGGTCCCTGACAGGATTCGAACCCACGACCTTACAGTTGCCAAAAAAAATAAATAACTCAAAGAGAAAAAACCCAATGGACCAAGAAGACAGACAACAGGGCCATTCTGTTCCAGATCTGACTCAGGAACAAGAAGATAGGTCCTAAAGGCAAATTTAAAAATAAAAACATTTTTAATTTCGACATTTGAAATGTATTGGTGCATTCTATTTAAAGCTATTTGAACAAAAAGATTGCTTATATATTCAAACAGACGACATTTAGACTTGGACCCCGTCTGGACAATGTCAGTACTTCAGTTGGTATCGTTTTGAACTACGGTAATGATGACTCTGGTTCGAGAGTTCAGTATTGCGATTTTCTTCTTTGAGACGTCGCAGAGGCTCTCCGCCCACTTGCCATAATTCTATTGGAGATAGATTTGAATTTGCAAGTCCCGCAAGATAACGAGGGCGTTCAAACCTTACCATACTTGACTCGTTTGCACCAAGACATGCATTGAGGCCCAAAGGGTTAAATTGTATTCAAGGTGCCTTGTACAAATGATGCATCAAAAAAGACTTTTGGAAAGGAATGCATGTAGCACATATTTCAGTTATGACTTGCTCTGTCTCTGATGAGCTTGGGAAAGATTTGCTTTAGTGTGTTTTCTCTTCTTCATGGAAGTGGACCTCACACTCACGACATTGTAAAATAAGATGTCTATAAGAATTTCATGAAGAAAAGGAGATGGAGCTTGCATTATTTTGAAAACAAAATATACAGAGAATGAGATGGGGAAGGGTGGGGAGGGTCTTTCCATCAAAGAGAAGGAGATGGGAGTCAACTGAAAGGGGAGATGGTCAAAGAAGGAAAGATTTGAATTAAGTAAGGAGATGTTCAAGAAGTACAATTGGGGGGGGGGGGTTCTTTTTTCTGTCCATTACTCACAGAGTGTTTTCTTGCAGATATATGCATGCTGATCAAAACAGTCAGTGTCTCTCCAGGATCCATCAGTTTTGACAGCCTGTAAATAGGTGTAAGAGAGAGGAAAATAGTGTCGATAAACTCAATAGTCTTTGAGAAGCTTATTCGTATATTATAAAACACATTTTGAAACACAGAGACAACAACAACAACAGCAACAACAGAAGCAATAAAAGATCCAACAAACCACTGTGACATTGATATGTATGTATGAAAATATAATATAGTATATATAAACATAAATAAATATATATATATATGATAATATCAACGAACATGGTGATGATAATGATGATGCTATTAATAACCAACACTAGCTCCTCCTCTTTAACCCCCACCTGACCTCTCCTTCTCCAAAATGCTCCTCGAACCGTGATTGTTGATGTCTGTTTTTAAATGTGTCCCCTGAGGAAGAGGACGAAGCTCCCCTTCCCCATTTTACTCCCACATCAACCCCACCCTCCAGTCCTGTCCCCACATACCTACACATCCCCCTCCCCTCTGTTCAGAGGCAGTCCGCAAATCCCCCCACACCTCATTTCAAGGACGGTCCCCACATCCCCCCCACACACCCCTGTTGAAGGACAGTCCCCACATCCCCCCCACACACCCCTGTTGAAGGACAGTCCCCACATCCCCCCCACACACCCCTGTTGAAGGACAGTCCCCACATCCCTCCCCCCCCCCCCGGTCCAATGTGTGCCACTGACCACAACACAGTCCTGGTGCAAGGAGTTGTCATCGTCTATGGCTCCTCCTCCTGGTGTCCAGAACATAAAGTTGAGAGCCGTCCCATCACTCCAGGAGAAACCGGCTGGGGATTGGAAGGTAAAACGTATCTCAATGTGATCATCTATGTAGTCTGAAAAGTAAAAATCCCATTAAGGATGTGCAGTGGGGCAGCCAGTTAGGATGCAGTATCGATCACAAAAACAAAATGGCTTTCACTGAAGGAACCAAATAGCTAAAAGGAGAAACCGTTCCTCTCGGGAGAGAGTGAAGGGGCTCAACAAACAGCAACTATGGTTTATTTTTGTTTTTCTTAAGGTTTCTCGGTAATTGCAACTGCATAAGGTCATATGAGCACCGAATGAGGGAAGTCCAAACGGTGAATCAGGCTTACTCTGCTCACCTCTCTAGACTCAACAGCACAAAGTCTGTTGCTACTATCAAAGCACCCAGGAAAAGGCTGTTCAAAGGAGAGTGACAAACATACTAAAGAAGTAGAGGGGAAATGACTATAGTAAGGATGAGGAAAGAAAAAGCAGCAGTTCCTCCTATTTTGTTTCAGCACAGTATGAGTATGACATTGATAAATCAGCCCATTTACAATTCTACTGCGCATAAAAACATGTTAATATCCCCCCCCCCTCTTTTGGGATAACTGTAGCGTATAGACTTAACAGACCTTAACCACTCCAAACCCGGGATGTTTAAATTTCTACCCCATTCTGAATATCAACATGTATTGTCTAACTGAACAGGACAATTGAATCAGAGAATACCAGTGGTGGCAAAACTTCTTGCTCTCTACATCTGCCTTCAGCCCTCATGCCTTTGTAAGGGCTGTTGAGTGCGTATGAGCGCCCGCGCTGTGTGTGTGTGTGTGTGTGTGTATGTGTGTGTGTGTGTTTGTGTGTGTGTGTGTGTGTG